CGACCACTGTGCTTCAGGTGAAGTCTGCAGGCTACACGTAGCACCACAGGCTAACTTGTTGAGTTCTAAGATTGGTTTATGGATCATTTACAAATCAATTCCGATTTTTAAATGGCTTTCTAACACATATAACACATTTGCCTCCTCACAAACCACGACCTGTTCATTTGGGCTGAGAAAGTTGAGGCCGATGTGACCTCACACTGATCCTTGAGGTTTCACTTCAGCTTAACGTACCTGCTCAGTGTGCGTTCATTTATTATTTCCTCACCTCGTCTTTTCCTCTTGTGTTATTTATTTGTTCTTTGTTGTTGTCACGTTCTCTTCTCTGTACTTCATCGCAAATGCGCCTGGTGAACATATCACACAAGAGTTTCATAAAAGTGAATCCAGTGAGACACGAACCCGCACGAGGGGATGTGGGGGGGCTGCGTGCACGGAGCGAGAGCGAGAAAGAGGGAATTACTAACCATTAGAGAGTTCTGAGAGGGCATCGGAGGAAAAAGATTGTTAGAGTGATCGCTAATGAGGCGTGTGCGTGTAGTTGCCCCCGCGCGTGTGTGTGTGTGTGTGTGTGTGTGTGTGTGTGTGTGTGTGTGTGTGTGTGTGTGTGTGTGTGTGTGTGTGCGTGTAATTAGTGAGCGGGAGCCTGTGAGTGGAGGATAAGAGCAGATTTTAAGGACGGCTGGAGGACACATGGCAAGAAAGAAAAGTATTGTCCTCTGGAGATGACAGGGAAAAGTGTTTGTTTGGAGGGAGGGGGGAGGGGGAGGGGGAGAGGGGGGAGGCACTCAGGAAGTAAGTCAAATGACGGTACGGTAGAAGACGTCCCCTGTGCTCTCCCCCGGCTGCCGCAAATCCCCAAAGGGTTCAGTGCAAGCTGATGTTGGTGTTGCTCATGACAGACTCCATAATAGCTGCTTTGTGTCAAACTAGACCCGCAGACAAAGCAGCTTAAAGTTATAGCAGAATTATACACAACTTTGATAGTTATGTAACAACGTGAACGTGTTCAGATGGAAGAATGTCAGCATACTGAGTACATATGGTCGTCTAAATAAACTCATGGCAGCACAATAAGGAGAAATGTATTGTCACCTTGTTCCCTTTTGTTGCTTTTGTTCTAATCTCCATCATTGTGTTGTATTTTTTGTTGACAATCTCCAACCATGTTTTTCCGGCTCAACAATAACCAGAAAATGATTTTGTAACTACAACTAAATACCTGTAATAAAAAAGTGACCTTTAAACACTTCAATGGACACTCACACACACACACACACACGCACACACACACACACACACGGTTTGTCAGTCCAGGTGGTGAATGGGGTCATGTGGTTGCAGGAGGCCTATAACATTACTCGCCATCAGCTCTGCCATAGGTGGGCTCATCGACCGACAGGTGCGTGCTAGGCCTGCCTCCCCCCCCTCACCCTCTTCTTCACTCAAACACCCCTCCCCCTCTGGGTCGGCCTCCTTCCCCTGATGGCCTGGGTGCTGAGTCTGAGGAGCTTGTGTGTATATATTGTGTGTGTTGCGGGCACAATGAGGAGAGAAGGGTCCGTCAGTGGCCACCTGTTGGCCAGCTGTCAGGGTCCCGTTTCAGGGTCGCCTTTCCCTGCTGACAGCACAGCAGCCACATCCATCCATCCATCCATCCATCCATCCATCCATCCATCCATCCATCCATCCCTCCATGATCCATCCCCCTTCAGTCTTTTTTGCCTGCCACTGACATGCGAAACATGAGTTTAATCGTCTCCAAATAAACAACAACAACAACAAGCATCTGTGAAAGGACGGGATGAGGAGGACGAGGACGAGGGGGCTGGAGTATCTCAGCGTGTCTCGTTTGATGCCCATCAATGGCTCGTAGATACCATCCTCTTCATGTCACATTAACATCTCTATAGGAGCTGTGATGAAGGTTTGGGGGGGTCGAGCGGGGGATGTGGGACGGGAATTAGAAAAAACAAATGATGAATGAGTGATGGAAATTGGCGGGCATGCCACGGACAGGAGGAGGCCGAGACAGGAGACGGAGACGGGACAAGTGTATGTGTGTGTGTGTCGGGGGGGTGGGGGGGGCACGGTGGGGTAAGAGGTGGGAGGAGAGCGAAGAGATAATTTCCTATGAGGAGGCTGCAGATGTGGGTGGCTGTGAGCGGGGGAGGGGGGGGTCTAATGGCTTCGGGTGCTGCCTCTATTAGGCTGAGCACCCAGTCGATGACAGAATAAGAAGTCCTGAGACGATTTGTCAGGGTCTGTATGTTGGTCATTAATTTGTCACTATTAACGGCTCCGCCAGCTTTTACCGTGACCAAAAGAAAGAAGATGGCAGAACACGGAATATCGGCGCGAACACAGACATGTCGTATGTGCGATCTATGGCGTTTCGATCCGTCCTGACGCTGCTATTGATTTTTCATCTCGTGCACTGTATCAAGTGCCGATGAGAAAAAGGGTCAGTCGAAGTGATGAACCCACGGAGAGCTGTCACCCGACCACACGTCCTCTCAGCGGCACACAGCAACTTGGATGTTCTTTGTTCTCTCTCTCTCTCTCTCTGCTCTTGTGACTTGTGTCAGCTGAAAAACAGGGACTCCACACAATGCAGACTGTGTGCTCCACTGAGCAGCAGACGGACACAGTTAACCGCCAGCCCTCCATCCGTTCCGCACATGTCCAGGAGCGCCTCGCTGGAACACCCTCCTCTAACGTTGCCCTCGATTGGCTACAGCTTAGCTACGATGCTAACCTGCACTTTGACCTGGACGGGCCCGGGAGGAGCGACACGCTCGGTGCAAAGTCGGTCCAAACAGTAGTTTTCTACTCACTATTTTCATTGTGACAATTTTCATTCACCAGGGGCCAATCAACTAAAATTTTGCACATTGACAGTTTTAATGAAAATACATGTGGATGATGAATATATGTTGCCAGATGTGGCTGGGAAAGAAACAGCGTTGGTAAATGAAATGTTACAGGCAGCTAACGTCATTGTGTGTCACTAACTCCACTAACTAAGCGTCAACTCAATTTATTCTAAATATTTGCGTGACACTTTTTTTTTTTCCTATAGCGTTCCTATAGCGTTTTTATAGAACATTGTATATTTGGTTAATTGGTGAAGATATTGATCTTTTTGCCTGCTTTTAATAACATTACAACTCAAAAACAAGCTATAAGCTTTTCCACCAACGCCAGGCGAAGCGAATCCCCTGTTTTGAACTCGCACACCATGAACGAACGCTTCAATCATTAACTTAAAGGAGGTAATGTGTCAACGTGTTTTTTGCTGCCCATAAGAAAATAATACAGGTTAGCAAAAGGGCAGTCCCCTGTTTAGTTTATGAAATTCAAACTGATAATGTAACGCTGGTATGTGAGTTCATTCGGACTCATTCGACTTGCAGATAAACAGATGAGGTGAACAGCGCTGTCACGGCACAGCAGGTTGGTACCACTTCTGCACTCACACAAATGTCGAGACCTCGTAAAAGAAAAGAAGCAAAGACGTTTCCTTTGCACCGAAATGACCTCGTGACAGATGGTTTTCCAATCAATGACACTGGACAGTACGTCCGTGTAGAGGAAAAGAGAAGGATGCCGTGTTTCTTTACCTACTGTGCTCTTACTAAACACCCTCTGTCCTAAGAAGGCATGAGGCCTTTTCAAGACATCGTTAGCACATTTTAATGCAGCGCTCCGTGCACATAGAACACGTTCTGCTGTTGTATTATGGATGCAGATCATGTTGTCTGTGCTCCCAGAGCTCCTCTCCAACACAAGTACCGACTTAACCAGACTCAATTACAGACGCGACCTAATGAACGCCAAGGCAATGGCGTGTGCGCGCGCGAGGAGAGAAGCGCACGATGAGCAATGGTTCAGCACATGGGGAGCGCCGAAAAAGAGCTGTGCACGCTAATAAACCGCCTGCTTGATTTAATGACACCGATCCCAAAGAGCAGCCGAGCAATGTCGCAGTAATTCAAGCCTGAAGGCCCAAGCAGCAGTCACGTTGAACCCTGGTTCCAGGTCCAACCTGTGGGTTGTTGGTCTTCGGTTGCCATCTAGTGGGCACTCACAAAGCAGTGGACACACAATTATTAAGCGTCATTCAATTATAAAATGTGAGTGTACTTCACAGATTGAGCTTGAACAAAATAACTAAATAATACTCACAGGCCTGGAAAGTAGAATCTGCTGCAAACAAATGTGTTTGTATTCATCAGGCCAAAAACTAAGGTATGATTGGTCCTCTAACTATCAAGTGCATGAAGTGAATAAATTGGATTAGATATCCGTGGAGTGGAATCAATCCGTTTCCACAGCTGATGATGATGGTCCTGAACATGGGATATTTTTGTTTTTTGTTTAGGTTAAACTTCACATGACTTCTGCACTGTAGTTATTCTTTATAAGAGAACTTATTTTTTTCAAGTTGACACATGTTGCACACTCCAGTCCAGCTCAATACATCCTGGATGACCTGTTTGACTTCACAGATCTTATTGGCGACAGAACGGATGAAACAGATAATTGTTGTTTGTTTGTCTTTTAATCCCTGGCATTGGCCCACACTCCGACTTGGGCTTGGCCATACTAAGAAAATACCTCAATTTCAATGTTCTTGCAATAATGAATGGTTTGTAAAGACAAATAATAATAAAGCCAGAAGAGTCTGCATCAATGTTATTGTTATAGTTGGGTGAAAGGGACAGAGGGGAGAGATGTGTTAATGATGACTAACGTTAGAACAAGTCTTCACTTTCATTTACTCAGGTATCAATAACTGAAACACAAGAAGCAACATTTAAGCTCTCTTTAACAACAAAGATGAAGGACCACAGGACCGGATGAGAAGGATGGAGGATCACAGGACCAGTTGTAGTGTGAGGTGGACGTCTTTTCTTTCGGAGAGTGTAAGTAAGTAACATAAAGTAGTGATAATAGAGTGGTTCACATAATAAGTCACTTTATCCAGACTGTTGTTGTTTTCATACTTCTGCTTTTATTGACTCATTCAACCTTGACCACATTTCTGAGGCTTTCAGCAGTGATTGTGTTACAACCTGTAGAATGAATCAAATTCATACTTTAATTCCCTTTCCATCTTCTTGGCCTGGTACGCCGTTCAAAGAACGCGTTGAGCGGATCAAGGATTCATTTTACATTCCAGGCCTGAGGAGTGATTATTACAGCAACAGGTTTGAACCTGCTCAATAGAGAGATGTCGACAGCAAAACCCGGAGGACATCTCCAGTCACCAGCTTTCTAAAGACAATCCAGACCCTTGATGTAAAAAGCTTCATGTAGAAACACTTTCTTTAAGGAACTAACTCTCTACATGTCTGCAGACATCTCTATAGCGATTATCCCCCAACACTGGGCAAGGCCATGTTATGAATCAGTTGCCATGATGGGGAGGAACCACCTCCTGCGTTAGTCACAGCAGCAGTGAAGCCTTCTGGCATCCAGGTGCCAACTGCGTAAGCTGCTGGCCTCCGAATGTGCCGGGCAGCAGCAGGCGGTGACACATGAAGACTCCCAGGTGCTGCAGCTGCATTCTGAGCAGATACTGACCAGATGTGTTCAGGGGTCCATTATGCATTAAGACAAAAATGGAGCCTGAGAATAAGAAGCTTTAGTAACAGAGCTCAAGCTCCGTGTGGTACTAATAAGACAAGATAAGTTTCATGCCGAGGTTGTAAATTCAAGCTCAACCTGGAGCAGGAAAGTTTAGCTTTATTGATCAATAGTCTACGAGGAAGTCAACAGTCAAAAGGAAGGAACTGTGCACTGGTATCCTGTTGTGTTTATTGACAGGTGACTAGAACGGCACCATCTTGAATGAGGACACACGTTCCCCTCAGTGAAATGTATTCACCATCGAGCAAATTAACATACGAGTCAATTATTTACAGACAACAACCCATGTGTGATTGAAGTGTATTAAAGGCGGTGGCGGAAATGAACGTTTCCAATGTGGTAGAAAACAATTCAGCCACCAAATACTGAAGTAAAAACACATAGTAGTTTGTAATAGTTTGTCAGATTAAGTGACTGCTGACACAAACCCTATACATGGCATAAATAGACACCGTGTGTGGTTTTGTGTCAATAAGGCACATTTCACCATCTCATTTCTTGGCGAGTTTTAAACCAAGCACATCAAGTAAATGGTCAACACTGTTGAATCACTAAAAAAGTACAAAACAAAGATTCTCCACTCATCCTGACTCAAGTCGTACCGTTTTTCTGTTGGCCACTAAGCGGTGTTCTCAAGTCCATTTTCCCCAAAGTGAGGTGAATAATTGTCAGCGTGTGACTGTTCATCGATTAGTCCAGCTAGAGATCAATGACACATGAAATCATCCCTTCACCTTGATAGTTTTCTTATTGACCCCGCCTGTGGTCCTCCCCAGGCCGTCACGCTTAACCCTTGTCCATCATGGGTCAGTTGCACCTTCTCGAACACGTGCATTCACGTGTAATCCTGAAACACTGCTCATTGTTCCGGGACAAGTGTCCCAAGTTGCACAGCACACGAGCTTCATAAAACATTGAGCACTCAGAGATGTTGCTACCACATGTAGAAACGTTGCCCGCCTCGGGCTCATGTTCAGAGGAGGTGAGCATTCAGGTCGTACTTCTCGCAGAACTTGTCCGTTAACGGGATGCAGGTCAGGAACTCGCACCAGTCACACTTCACAGGGTAGACGTAGAAGAGGACTGCCAGGGTGGAGAGCAGACCAAGGAAGACCAGCAGGAAGCCGCAGATCTGGACACGCTTCCGGTACGTGTCGGTTTGCCCGAAGCTGCGGAGAAGAAACCGCCGTTAAGTCCCATAAAACACATTTGATCAGAGGAACCTTATTGTCATTGCGCAAAGTTGTTGTGTCAAAGGATTTTTCATATTGCATATTCCTTGTCAGGCACACTTTCACTTTCATCCAACAGAGAGTTGATCTTTATATCAGACTTTTCCACTGACTTGGACTGGAATAACTTTGAGAATGGTCTTGAAAGGGATTAGACTGCTGATGAATCATTGTAGTTATGCACTTATTATGATAGCATAGTAATACAATGTGGAATAGTCCCATTTTTCAATTGATTCTATACTCATTACAAACCCCAGGTCGAATCATGCTGACTCTACATGGAATAAACTCCTTTGGTGAGAATATTGCCGCTATTCTCATACATGTACATTACAGATAAAGCTATGACCATGACACAGCCAAGCTAGCTGCTTCCTGCTGGTCTCAAGCTTCATTGTTAGTGCACAAATATATCACAGCCATTATTCTCTTATCACTCTTTCTCTGAGATCATCTACCTGATGTACGGCAGGAAGGCGAAGGACAGGAAGAATCCCGACACGAAACCGCAGACGTGGGCAAAGTTGTCGATCCATGGAAGCAGACCGAAGGAGAAGAAGAAGGCAGAGATGGCCAGCAGCTTGGCGAAGGCTCGCCACGGTCGCTCGAGTATCTGCCAGCTCTGAAACAGCTCCACAAACAGACAGGCCAGGATGCCGAACTGGCTGCCCGCAGGACCCACCTGGTGTGGAGGAAACAGGGTCGGGGACAGAGTTTTGTCTTTTTCTTCCAACGCAACGTGGTCCAAAAGGCAGCCTCTCGCCGGCGTGACGACGTACCTCGGCTCTGTAGGGCAGGAAGATGGCTGAGGCCCAAGTTGCCGGTGACGCCGCTGAGCATGTAGATGATGGAGATCCTGAGCCATCCAGCAAGCTTCTCAATGTCCCTCAACACGGACATCTGGAACAACACCGACACCAGGCAGTGCAGGATCCTACAGAAAGAGGCGAGGCCGAGTGAGACCAGCACTTCTCACAACTGACACACTGTGTAATGACAGCCACAGAGTCACATATAATACCGCTTGTCTTTTTTTATTTGATTTCTTAAGAACTGCTGATACATAATACTTTTTGACACGTTTTTTTGATCTTGTTTATTTTTCATTAACCGTTACTCGTTTGCACTTTAACTACACTGCTGTACATCCTGGGATTTGCTGTGGGACTAGTAGAGGATTGTCTCATCTTATCTTATGAAGCAGTCGTACTTCCCTCTTGAGCATTAAATAGCGAGGCCTTGTGATATGTAATATGTGACCAAATAAAAAGCTCAGTCACCCAGCGTGAAGAAAGAGAGACAGCCAGAGCCGAGAGAACTGGTCTGGAATGTCAGGGTTGAGGAAGGGCAGCAAACCACACACGTCGTCCATGCAAGCCACCTGGAGGGGACAGTGAAAAACTGTTAGGATTGAAAGTGCTACGAGTCAGCCTGCAGATCCACCGCCGCCATGTGGAGGAACATGAGGGCTGAATGGAACCAACGCGCTTTACATTGATTGTTCCAGTGGTGCAATCGGTCAGCGCACAGTACTCATGAAGACAGTAACTGAGTAATGCTGAGGTTGTGGGTCTGAGCATCACATGGTGCATGTGTTTAAGCTGTTGATGTATGTGGTGCATTTCATGTATAATCCTTTGTAGCTGCAGTAGGGTGTGCGAATGAAAAGCAGCAGTCAGTTTGAGGAAATGAAAAGAACATTTGTTCGCCCTACCTGCGAGCAAAGGGTAGCCTCCTCGTGGAAGTAGCCATGCATGAAGTCACAATACTCTCTTGAAGTGATTTCACATCTACAGCATAAAAACATCAGCTTCATCAGTAGATCCCTCGCAGGGAAAATGACCAGATGTTAGAGTTTAAAATGAAATCTATACATTCTCGTTCTAATCTTGTGATCAAGATGTGATCCAATATCCAGTGTTTTCACCTTGGTTTCTTAACAATACTGAAATATTTTTTATATACTTTCTATTCACAGTGTGCTTATGTCATATTCTTAAAAAGTGAATGCGATAAATATTTGACATTTAAGCATAAAAAAACACTCAACTTTGGAGTTAATCCTGACACATGTGCAGCAACTTAAATACCAAATGACTGGTAATTTAGAAAATCAACGCTTGTTTTAGTTGATGCCGATCCTCACCGTCCTTTGGTTCCGATGCAGCAGGGCCGGCCTGTGATGGTGCAGTCGATGTGGGGGAGGTTGGTGTGATTGCCAGAGTTATACCGCGTACAAACCTACAGATCAGGTACAGGACACATTAAATCTACCCGTCTGGTGCATCGTGTTCATTCAGTGAGTGAAACTCACGGTAGATTTTCATTCATTGCTCTTAAGACAAGAGGCCAATAAGGAAATTAGAAACTGGGTGAATGTACTCACTGGCCACTTGGTGATGTCATCGGGCCACTCATGAGGTGAAACTGAGGCTGGCTCCAGACAAATTCTACAAAAATCAAGAGAAAAGTTGCAGAGGAATTAACAACAGAGAACCTTGAACGATTACGTCCACATCTGGAGTACAATCATGTGCGTTACTGAATGCGTTCCCCATTAAAACACAAGGATCAGAAAGGCGCTTACCTGGGGTCCTGATGGCAGACTGCACCATGTCGGCGTCGAGTGCCATTCAGAGACGGAGCACTGGGGTGCCGAGGCCACTTCACAAACACTGCCAGCGTGCTCTACGACAGAGGAGGAGCAGACAGACGGTAAAACCTCTCAACAGTGCAGGAAAATCCCAACACCCTTATTCTGTATTCTGCTCATCTGATTGTGAATTGGTAACTACAACGAATGGCCTCACAAGGGGGCGTCTGTGTCACACTTATTCAACGTATCTCTGCACATCTTATATCGAGTGCCAAGCCTTTCAAGCCAGAGACGCTCTAGGGGGGGGGGGGGGGGACATTACAGCCTGGTGAGGTTGTGAATCTAGACCGGTGGTTACAACAGCCGTGTGATGGGCTCATGTAACCGTCTGTCAAACGCCCCCTGATATGTTCCAAATGTGTTGATGAGAAGGGATTTTAAACGGGTTGTTATTCAACACTAGTTCTTCTGTAAAAGCCGATGTTGTTATTTATTTATTGGCAATTTTCATGTTGCCCACCACACTTAAGAGCTGCATAAAGGCCGAGAAAAGAAATCAGAGAAAAGAAGATGAACACACTTACTGAGCTTGGACCCACCCAGAAGTTTTGCTGCTGCACAAACTTGACATTTTCATAAACTCCCTTGTTCCTCAACACCTGAAGAAGAAGGCGATATATATAAAATCCAAAAATGACTCATTCTTTCATTTAAACTGTAAATCCCAGACATGTATTCACGACAACATACCAAGCGAGTCATGATGAACCCTGTGAAATATACTCACGGAGTCGACAGTCTCATGTTGCGAGAAGCCCACAGGGGCGATGCCGTAGATAGCGACAGCCAGAATGGTGATGAGCAAATGGACACACGTGATCCAGTACGAGAAAAAAGGCCTGGGGAGGACGACACATCCATTATCCGGGACATTGGCCACCATAGGACAGTCCTCTTGCAGGCTGGCTCAGCTGTCTCACCTGTGATCGTCCATGTCCTCGATCTGTTTCTGGACAAAGCTGTCGATGCGCTTGCGGTACGTGCGGTTGGTGAGGCGGCCGACCATGCCCAGCCCGTAGGGCCTCTTCTCTCTGGCAAACAGCTTCTTGACGGGAACCCCGATCCGTTGTCCCCGCTGCTGGTGGCCGTTGGCGCTGACCACTTCCTGTTTCAGACGCAGCCTCGGTTGGATCAGAGAGACATCTTTTGCCTTTCGCCATCCTCGCTCTAAGGGCCTGGATTAACGGAGAGGAGTTAGTTACGTCTGGCTCCCCGCCAGCGTGTGAGCACATGAATCAGACCGCGGGAAAACAAACCCACAGCATGAGGTGACTCCTCTCCAGTTTGGTCCTGTCCAACGCACCGCCTGTGAGCTCGCTCTCATCCAGCTGCGTGAGGTCGGCCTCCGATGGTGTCTCGAAAACCTCGTCAACATAGCTGTACAGCTCATCGTGCAGGCCTTCCTGCGAGGATTAAAAACAATGTCATTGAGACTTCAAAGCTGTCCGATGGGTCCTGAAATGACAGGAGACAACGCATACAAAATATAATGTTCAGCACAAGAACGTGCTTAAAACCAACGTTATGTTATGAAGAAAAGCTAGAATCTACAGCATGGATGATTGTGTGTGTGCGCATTGCAAAGGATGCTTGTTTCATTTTCTATAGTTAAATCATAGGCTGGTGTTATTCTGGCTTTGGGAGAAAGTGTTTTCCACTGCCCACCCTGGTGAAGAAGGAAGTGTCCAGCTCATCGGTGGAGTCTACGGTGTCGTCTTCCAGGAAACTCGAGGGCATGAAACTCCGCCGGCGAGGACGCCCGGAGGTGCTGTCGGCTAAAGGACGACCCTGACCAACAGAATCACACACACACACACATTATTACTATTACATGTCATTTATCTGACGCTTTTATCCAAAGCAACCTATATTACATTTTTAACCCGTGGTTTTTACATTTTGCCCACGGAGCAGTTAGGGGTTGGGTGTCCTGCTCTGGGACACTTCGACATGGGACATGGAGCAGCCGGGGCTCAAACCGCCAACCTCCCGGGGCACCCACTCTACTCCGTGCGCCGCCGTCGCCCCCATCAACAGACTGACGTGCAATGAGGCCTGACACTTTATCCGGGGGATCCCTGGACTCGGCGTGGGTCCCTCTTAGAGATAGAAGCTGAGGATCGCGTCACAGTGGATTAGCTCTGCACTTCTGGAGTATTCTGATCCAGCCGAAAGCTGAGCGTTTGTGTTGTGTATTATCGTGGAGCATCTGCAGGACCCAGTAACTCTCAGGACCCTCACATCCATTCAGCCACATATACCATATGTGCTAGGCTGTTATTAAGATCTATCAGAGAAAAGACGGTCTGTTTGAAATGTAAGGAAACAAACAATGATGGATCACAAACGCCCGTATGCGGCGCGCTGCTGCAGGTGACAAGTACCAACTTTACAAAGCACTATTTGATGAATTAACACAAACCGCTGCACGAACAAAGAGTGAACAAACAACCTTCATCAAAGCTGCTGCAGCCTTGAGACTCATGACAGCGACAGACTCCCGCTTGCGTCGTCGTGGCAACCAGTTGAGGGCGGAGCGGGAGCTGGAAAGGGAGCAGAGGGAGGCGGTGCCGGGCGTGATGGGAGTTTGCGGGACACTGAAGCCGTCTACCTCTTCCACCAGGCGGAAGGCTCGACCCCGAGCCAGGGGGTCGACAATCTGTGCGCACGCACACGGACACACACACACACACACTCTGTGTTGGTGCACAGCTCTTTTTTCATACTAATTTGTCATGCCACAAACAATAATAAACAAAGAGCGACACATAAGTGAAAAGCAGGGATAATTGATGTTCAAGTTTATGGTAAGAGGCTTTTTATTTTAAAGGGCAAAATGGCTTAATCACCAGGTTTTAGTAAAAGGCAACAAAGGCAGATCAAGATCCTTTTAACACAAGACAGAGGTACTATTATAACAATAAGAGTGAAAAGTCTCTTGTTTTTGTCTTTAATAAGATTACAGATATCACTGTTAATTCTACCAGTGCAAGTTATTAATGCCTATTCTGGGAAATCATGTGTGAAATAGTCATTATTCTACATGAAATATTTGAAAACACCTGCATGCAACAAATGTGTCCTATGTGAAAAAGCCATCAATTGAACCCGAGGCAACATTGCAAAGCAAAGAGGTAAAGCAAGCGCCGAAGATCTAGAAAAGAAAGGGCGGCAGCAAAAGGTGTGCGACTGCCCCGTCCCTTCCTCCGTGCCTCCAACTTGCCCCCGGCGCTTCCCTACCCTCTGCATGCCATGGTGGTAGGGTGGGAGGTAGAGGGGGGGAGGGGTCTCAGTGCTGGCCAGGGAGATGTTGTCCTGGCTGTGCAGCTCCCTGTCCCTCATCACCTGCGGCTTCAGGCCCCCGTACAGATGGCTGCAGTGCTGCAGGCTCTTCCTCCTCCATCGCTGGGTGCTGTCGCTGTCTTTGCTCACCCCGAACCAGTCGGCCGTACCCCTGGGGGAGAGGAGGGGGTCTGGTGAGCACGTGTGACACACACACACACACACACACACTAGTCTTTGACAGATTGAGCCGTAAATCCCTCCTGGTTAGCAGAATATGATAATTGCTTGATTGATTTGTTGATTGCTGTCTTGTGTGTAACATCTGGAGTGACATCTTTAGATATCTTGGAACCTTGAACTAAATATACAGCTCAAATTTATGCTTGACGGGCTAATTTACAATCAATAGAAACAGCTGAAACGTTTCGGGGATGACGGATCTAGTACATTTTGAGCGCAGGTCAGCTTCTAAACCTTTGGTCGATTGAGATACTCAGAAGAATTGACTCCCTTCTAGCATTTCTCCATAATCTTTGTGTGCATGTCTATATTTGGTTACAATGGACGCTTCCTGTCCAGCTTAGAGAGAATGAATGAAAAATACAGTTCTGATTCTCACACGACCTCGTGCTCTCAGCTCAGTGAGCGCTGAAGAGGACAGATGTTGCCCAACAGCCCTGCAGTTCATGAACTCACTTGGCTGTTTGTTTCCCATTTAGTTCAGAACAAATGTGCATCCATGGCCCGTTTTTTCTTCCTCTGGAAACAGTGACAAGCTGCTTTTTAACAGGGAAGGGGGGAGTGGATGGAGGGCGGCCGGGGGCGGGGGGGGCACACAGGGGAAACTGTTTGGAGAGCCAAACTCTCAGTAATAAACACTCGGGCCTCATCGTCAAGAAAGACGCCGGCTGGGGAAGCCTTATAAGGCTGCACAGCTGCGGGCGGGGGGGGGATTGTTGTCCTCCTTGAGTGGAACGTTTTAGAAGGACTGAAGTCCCACTGACTGGATAGAAATATAAAAATAAAGTTGTTGTAAAATACAGATACCAATCAGGATGAACATAACATCCTCTACGGACGGTAAAACATGATGCAAACTCTCTGGCGTTTGTTTGTGCGACTTTGTTTAGATAAGCAGGTATTTGTCTTTGTGCGCACATGCACCGACAAGCATGCTTGTAGGATTCGCCCACATGAAACCATAAATAAAGAGTTTTACGACTGGGTGACGACGGCACAAACCCATCACCGATCAAAGATGAAATCTAACGTTAAACGACATCCATTAGCTTTCATCTCCTCCGGGTGAGGCTGGTGCAAATGAAGCAGCGATCCGCTGCTGGTGTAATTATGGGCTTAGACAGCATTCATTTCATCAAGGGGGAAAAAGGAAGAGGGAGAAAGCTTGAAAAAACAATACAAAAACATTATTGAACGGGTAGAGAGCAGAGCAAATAGAAAGGATAAATATAAACGTTGAACGTCATTGACTTTTCAGATTGGATAGATGCGTTGATGAGATGTGTTACTTCAACGCTGAACCTATAAACGCGTTTTCAATGTTTATTATTTAAAGAAAACTTCAATACTTCCGCAATGAATGAAATGGACTGTTTTCCACATTCCCATCCAAAGCGCCTCAAAGCGCTGCACACCCACCTGTCCAGAGAGCTCCATGAGGGGTTCAGAGTCTGGGTCATACCTGAGGGGTGCAGAGACTGTAGAGCTGCAGATCTTCCATTGCCAGCATCCTTAACGGAGTGTCCCCACTTACCCTCGAGCACGCATTAATCCTTAATCCGTTGGATGCAAACGGATCCACCGCGGATCACACGTACAATGTTCCCTGGGGGGATTTCCTAATATTCAGGCCAAGCAGTGCCTCGTACCACTCGCTGTTACGCAAAGAGAGGATGATCAGCACATGTCCAGACCGGGCAACATCCACATCCCGCTCAGTGAGTTCCTGGTTAATCAAAGGTTAGGGGAAAGCCTGCGTTGATCTCCTCCGTCAGACTGGAATCTGATCCCTTTGAGTGCCCTAAAGGGGACTTCCAGTCTTCCCCCCAGCTGGACTCGCTCCCGCAGCGCAATGATGAGCGGGAGGATCCTAAATCTTCTGACCTCGTGTCCCCAGGGCACAACACAGTAGGTTGTGTGTGTGCGCGAGAGTGTGTGAACGGGTCAGTGGCTGGCAGGCCTTCCGCTGAAGGACGTGACACACTGGGCAGAGCTGACAGTGGGCTCTGGTCCTCGTCAGGCTGAATATCTCCCTCCCTCCCTCCCTCCCTCCCCCATTCAGAACCCCAACGATCACTAGCAGTAAGGTCCTCCTCTCTCCTCCTCAGCCTTGTTTTGAAGAAAAGTGCCTAAACACCAGTTGCACAGCAGCACGCTACAGGAAATGGGAAGAAGGAGCGAGAGAGCAGGGAGGGAACGGGAGGGAGGACAGCGGGACATGCCTGAACTTGACCCACGCAAACGTACACACGCACACACCAGAGCGGCAACGGCGCAAAGGCTGAGCTTGAAGCCCACCTTTGCGTTGCAGCCACACATTCGTGTCGACTGTAGAGAGGTCTCATTACGGGCGTCGGTGTGACTCAGATAAATGATTTACTCGGGGAAATCGGTTGAAGCAAATGGCTCGCGAAGATGAAAAGCAGCTCGTGAAGAGTTTTTTTTGTTCTTGCTGTCGGCCAGATGATCAAACATCAGGGTGTCTTCCCGGTTACTCACACAAAGATATTAAAATGTTGTTTATCCGGCATTTATGCACTCTTTTGAGGATGAGGTAACCTCCGCTACACAACTTTCTCTAAATGCCATTAATTCTCTCGTAAACATCAAACGCATTAATTCAGTGACTCTCTCACACAAATACAAGGGCACTAAACCGTGGCCTGATACAGATAAGACATCAAGACTCTCCTTTGAAGATACGAGTTTTTGTTTTGGTCGCCCCGTGTTTAAACATTTACAGTTAATTTAGCGCTTTGCTGTGGCCAACGTGCTACGTGAAGCACACAGATGGCCTGTATGAGTAATTGTGTTATTTTGTTTGCCTCTAACCGTGTGGTCCTGTGTGCCGCGCTTACCGGCACTGGTAAGCTGTGTGTGAGAGAGCTTATGTGACACAGACTGTTCACAGCCTCACATCTGTGGCACTAGGAGACTACTAAGAGACTAACAAGACCGGTGTAAAACTCAGTCAATAGAGAAGAAATCTTTTCGTGCTTTTTTGGAATCTTCAGCTGTAAAGTTGCGGGGAGGGAAACCAAATACATTTATTCACAAGGGTTCAAACCAGCATATGTTGGAATTGAATATGTGAACAGTTGAATACCACACAAATGAAAATGCCAAGAGATTGTATGATTCTAAAGACATATTTTACAGTTAATTAGCTGTGTTAAAAGTGCTTATGTAAATGTTATCCCCTGTTATTTATTAGTATTACTATTTATGTATTATTATTGTTATCTATATGGCTGCAATACAGTTTTGCAAATCGAGTTTTCTCAAATTTAAGGTCAGAAAAATATCTTCTCTTACAATATTATGTATATATCGTTATCATCATTAAGTGTATATCATTGTTTGACCTCCGCTCTAAGCAATATAATGGTTACAATGAAATATAAAATCATTATTTAGAGGCACACCATTCCTTACACTAACTAATATAGATTATCATACACACTTATTCCTTTGGCCCCTCACTAAAATTGTGATAAAAGTACTGAGGGCTTGAAATGAGGGCCACACCGCTCAGTCTCCCTCAAACCATTTGGTCAATATGAACGTCCAATACACCATATTAATAGAAACTTTAGTGCCAAAACCGGACACCTGAAAACTGCCCCCTGCCTGCTCCGCCTCTCCTGTACCTGATGATCTGTTTGGGTATAGATGAACGCCGTCGGGTCAGTATCTTGGGGATGCATGACCGCCTCCGGGTGGTTGACTCCCTCCTGTGCTCCCTCTGACCCTTTGGGGGAACTGTGTTTACCCGCTCAAAGCGCACCCTTTTCCCGCTTAACGCGTGTGGCAGCGCGTAGAGGACAGGGAGGCAGTGGAGGGAAGCCGAAGGACGAAGGAGGAAGGGAGAAAAAACAGAATAAAAGGACAGAGAAAAGAAAAGAGAGAAAGATTCATTAGTGTGGAATCAGAAAGGAGGCTGCAGCTGCAATTAGTTCTGTTAAAGATCTGTGAGTGAAGAAGAAATTATACGACAGGCTGTCGCGATAAAAAATGAGCAGTCGGAGGAAATCACCAGAGTGGCAAGAAGACAGTATGTGTGTCTAACCTCTTGATGGACTGTGTGAAGGAGGGCAGTCTTTCCATAGGAGGTCTGAGGTAGTTGTTGGAAGTTTCCAAGGCAGCGATGCACATCTGAGGGTTTTCCCCTGGCATGCTGACACTGCGCAGCCGCTTCACCGGCTGCAACACACGCAGGCGAAGACATCCACTGACCGAGGATTCCCTCTTTGTGTGCATTCCATGTTATGTCAAACTTGACTTAACATCAATTAAACTCCAATTTAAACACCAAGTTTTTCTGAGTAGTCTTCTGTGCTCATCTTAACCACTCCTCTAAATCTACCGCCGCTGTTCTGGCTTGTTTTTACCTGTGGGAGTGTGGGCGTGTCGTACGCCGTCAGCCGGATGGTGGGAATGTCCAGTTTGAGCCATGGCGGCTTTTTCCTCTGGCAGCTGCCGTTCCTGCTTCCTGGCTCATCCATGCTCTCTAACCTCCCCCCTGCACCCGGCAGCTGGAAAACACGAAAAGAAAAAAAATGGTTTATCGAATGACACATACGGTCAAAATACGGGGAGAGGAACCTGAATAGAAAAGCAAATGTCAAACACCCCCCAAAACAGACACATTTTGAGTAGGCACAGACTATGCACAAGTGATCTTCATCCACCCGTTGTGGACCCCAACAGATCAACTGAAGAGGAAAATACAAAATAAACATATTGATCCAATTGATCCAAAAATTAAAAGCCCCATGTCTGCCGACAATCTCTGCGTTTTATCTAGACCGGAAGATCTGCTTCTCCAGGCAGGCTGTAACCACGCAAGTTAGAGGTCTCGGTGTTGTTTCACAAAAGGAGCTGCTGGATGTGGATTGAGCGGATAGGGGATGTGACTCAAAGAAAAGAATATGAAAGTTACAGTAGGTTATTTGTTTAGCAAACATAACCAGATGCTGTGTCTTCAAAAGGATGTTTTGTGTGAAAATCAAGAAACGCATGAACCTTGCATTACGGGTTGAATTAATATTGGAAAGAATTACTGTAATTAAGATGAAAGAAATGTTCGACGTTGGATCTGACAAGGTAGCGACAAAAGACCAGTATTCCAGGTGAGGTTCGAACCCTCAACCCCGGCATTGATTCGCAGATTACTGTCTTATAAGTGCCGCGCGCTGACCAATTGCGCCACTGGAGCCATGAAAGGCGGCAAGAACCACAGCTTAGTAGAAGCAGCATGGAGCAAGGTGCCCCTGAGGTGCTGGCTCATAGAAGCAGCTACTATTGCTCACGTCCAGCATTAAAAGTGTAGTGTTCCAGGTGAGGCTCGAACTCACAACCTCAGCAATTCTCAGATACTGTCTTATAAGTACTGCGCGCTGACCGATTGCGCCACTGGAATGTGTTTTGGTGACCGATTTAGGCCAAAAAAACATCTCCAAGACCGACAGATGGCATGTGGATTTGGCAGACTGTTCCTTTCAATCAGACACAAAAACATACCTGAATGAACAGGTGGCTAGGACCAGGTAGCTTCACAAACAGAGGGATTCGCAGAACGGAAAGCCAAAGCATCCCCTCATCCAAAGGTTTCTTGGTCACTGGGTTTATTTGCAACAGAGGGCGTTTGTAGACTGAGATGGACTTTCGCGATTATCAGCAGAAACACAAACAACTCAACATCCCTTAAGAAGCTAGCCAATACACCAGTATAAGTGAACCAGGATCTTTTAATAAAGTTTCTGTGCTCCAGGTGAGGCTCGAACTCACAACCTCGGCATTGCTTCGCAGGTTACTGTCTTATAAGTACCGCGCGCTGACCAATTGCGCCACTGGAGCCATGAAAGGCGGCAAGAACCGCAGCTTAATAGAAGCAGCATGGAGCAAGGTGCCCCTGAGGTGCATTGGGACACAGCCGGAGAAAGTTGGACGATGTAGTAGTAGACAGAGATACCTCTTCTCATAAAGACAGATGAAACACCTGACTTGGGAAGCTGAATGATGCTCTTGCACAATGACAAAAATCAAGCTGCTACATATGTCGATAGTGGCTCATAGAAGCGGCTACTATTGCTCACGTCCAGCATTAAAAGTGCAGTGTTCCAGGTGAGGCTCGAACTCACAACCTCAGCATTTCTCAGATACTGTCTTATAAGTACTGCGCGCTGACCGATTGCGCCACTGGAACGTGTTTTGGTGACCAATTTAGGCCAAAAAAACATCTCCAAGACCGACAGATGGCACGTGGATTTGGCAGACTGTTCCTTTCAATCAGACACAAAAACATACCTAAATGAACAGGTGGCTAGGACCAGGTAGCTTCACAAACAGAGGGATTCGCAGAACGGAAAGCCAAAGCATCCCCTCATCCAAAGGTTTCTTGGTCACTGGGTTTATTTGCAACAGAGGGCGTTTGTAGACAGAGATGGACTTTCGCGATTATCAGCAGAAACACAAACAACTCAACATCCCTTAAGAAGCTAGCCAATACACCAGTATAAGTGAACCAGGATCTTTTAATAAAGTTTCTGTGCTCCAGGTGAGGCTCGAACTCACAACCTCGGCATTGCTTCGCAGGTTACTGTCTTATAAGTACCGCGCGCTGACCAATTGCGCCACTGGAGCCATGAAAGGCGGCAAGAACCGCAGCTTAATAGAAGCAGCATGGAGCAAGGTGCCCCTGAGGTGCATTGGGACACAGCCGGAGAAAGTTGGACGATGTAGTAGTAGACAGAGATACCTCTTCTCATAAAGACAGATGAAACACCTGACTTGGGAAGCTGAATGATGCTCTTGCACAATGACAAAAATCAAGCTGCTACATATGTCGATAGTGGCTCATAGAAGCGGCTACTATTGCTCACGTCCAGCATTAAAAGTGCAGTGTTCCAGGTGAGGCTCGCACTCACAACCTCAGCATTTCTCAGATACTGTCTTATAAGTACTGCGCGCTGACCGATTGCGCCACTGGAACGTGTTTTGGTGACCGATTTAGGCCAAAAAAACATCTCCAAGACCGACAGATGGCACGTGGATTTGGCAGACTGTTCCTTTCAATCAGACACAAAAACATACCTGAATGAACAGGTGGCTAGGACCAGGTAGCTTCACAAACAGGGGGAGCCACAGAACGGAAAGCCAAAGCATCCCCTCATTCAAAGGTTTCTTGGTCACTGGGTTTATTTGCAACAGAGGGCGTTTGTAGACAGAGATGGACTTTCGCGATTATCAGCAGAAACACAAACAACTCAACATCACGTAAGAAGCTAGCCAATAGACCAGTATAAGTGAACCAGGATCTTTTAATAAAGTTTCTGTGCTCCAGGTGAGGCTTGAACTCACAACCTCGGCATTGCTTCGCAGGTTACTGTCTTATAAGTACCGCGCGCTGACCAATTGCGCCACTGGAGCCATGAAAGGCGGCAAGAACCGCAGCTTAATAGAAGCAGCATGGAGCAAGGTGCCCCTGAGGTGCATTGGGACACAGCCGGAGAAAGTTGGACGATGTAGTAGTAGACAGAGATACCTCTTCTCATAAAGACAGATGAAACACCTGACTTGGGAAGCTGAATGATGCTCTTGCACAATGACAAAAATCAAGCTGCTACATATGTCGATAGTGGCTCATAGAAGCGGCTACTATTGCTCACGTCCAGCATTAAAAGTGCAGTGTTCCAGGTGAGGCTCGAACTCACAACCTCAGCATTTCTCAGATACTGTCTTATAAGTACTGCGCGCTGACCGATTGCGCCACTGGAACGTGTTTTGGTGACCGATTTAGGCCAAAAAAACATCTCCAAGACCGACAGATGGCACGTGGATTTGGCAGACTGTTCCTTTCAATCAGACACAAAAACATACCTGAATGAACAGGTGGCTAGGACCAGGTAGCTTCACAAACAGGGGGAGCCACAGAACGGAAAGCCAAAGCATCCCCTCATCCAAAGGTTTCTTGGTCACTGGGTTTATTTGCAACAGAGGGCGTTTGTAGACAGAGATGGACTTTCGCGATTATCAGCAGAAACACAAACAACTCAACATCCCTTAAGAAGCTAGCCAATACACCAGTATAAGTGAACCAGGATCTTTTAATAAAGTTTCTGTGCTCCAGGTGAGGCTCGAACTCACAACCTCGGCATTGCTTCGCAGGTTACTGTCTTATAAGTACCGCGCGCTGACCAATTGCGCCACTGGAGCCATGAAAGGCGGCAAGAACCGCAGCTTAATAGAAGCAGCATGGAGCAAGGTGCCCCTGAGGTGCATTGGGACACAGCCGGAGAAAGTTGGACGATGTAGTAGTAGACAGAGATACCTCTTCTCATAAAGACAGATGAAACACCTGACTTGGGAAGCTGAATGATGCTCTTGCACAATGACAAAAATCAAGCTGCTACATATGTCGATAGTGGCTCATAGAAGCGGCTACTATTGCTCACGTCCAGCATTAAAAGTGCAGTGTTCCAGGTGAGGCTCGCACTCACAACCTCAGCATTTCTCAGATACTGTCTTATAAGTACTGCGCGCTGACCGATTGCGCCACTGGAACGTGTTTTGGTGACCGATTTAGGCCAAAAAAACATCTCCAAGACCGACAGATGGCACGTGGATTTGGCAGACTGTTCCTTTCAATCAGACACAAAAACATACCTGAATGAACAGGTGGCTAGGACCAGGTAGCTTCACAAACAGGGGGAGCCACAGAACGGAAAGCCAAAGCATCCCCTCATCCAAAGGTTTCTTGGTCACTGGGTTTATTTGCAACAGAGGGCGTTTGTAGACAGAGATGGACTTTCGCGATTATCAGCAGAAACACAAACAACTCAACATCCCTTAAGAAGCTAGCCAATACACCAGTATAAGTGAACCAGGATCTTTTAATAAAGTTTCTGTGCTCCAGGTGAGGCTCGAACTCACAACCTCGGCATTGCTTCGCAGGTTACTGTCTTATAAGTACCGCGCGCTGACCAATTGCGCCACTGGAGCCATGAAAGGCGGCAAGAACCGCAGCTTAATAGAAGCAGCATGGAGCAAGGTGCCCCTGAGGTGCATTGGGACACAGCCGGAGAAAGTTGGACGATGTAGTAGTAGACAGAGATACCTCTTCTCATAAAGACAGATGAAACACCTGACTTGGGAAGCTGAATCATGCTCTTACACAATGAAAAGAATCAAGCTGCTACATATGTCGATAGTGGCTCATAGAAGCGGCTACTATTGCTCACGTCCAGCATTAAAGGTGCAGTGTTCCAGGTGAGGCTCGAACTCACAACCTAAGCATTTCTCAGATACTGTCTTATAAATACTGCGCGCTGACCGATTGCGCCACTGGAACGTGTTTTGATGACCAATTTAGGCCAAAAAAACATCTCCAAGACCGACAGATGGCACGTGGATTTGGCAGACTGTTCCTTTCAATCAGACACAAAAACATCCCTGAATGAACAGGTGTCTATGCCCAGGTAGCTTTCACACAACAGGGGGAGCCCACAGAACGGAAACCAAAGCATCCCCTCAT